GATTAAGTAATTCATACGACAACCCGTACCTCCGTTTTCTATTCTGCGCTTTAATGACCGGCGCAAAACGGCAGAACGGCCCGGCGCGAAAACCCGAACCGGAGATTCGCCTTTTGAAATTAACGCGGAAACGATCCCTATCGCGCGAATTCCCTCGCTCCGCCGCCGCCGGCGGCAGCGTCTCGCGCGTCGGCCTTTTAAAAATTTCACCTCGCGCGGAACTCGTTTGCGACACTTTACCATTTCCGTAGCACTTCGAAGGAGAGACGAGAAAAAAAAAAGTTAATTATTTCTCAAACTAGACTAGAGGAATGAGAACAGTAAGAGCCGAATTGCGAGCACCTAGTGCTCGCATTTAATTAAAGTTGCACGCGCAGGTAAAAATCATCATCGGAATGTGTCGACTCCCGGATACGGTCGATGTAAAGTTTCACGGTTGGTTGCCGCCTTTACCCTTTCGGCCCTGCCTTGTGGCCAACTTCCGACTCCTGCGCATTACCGGTTGACGTGTAACGCTAAATTTGATGTATTTTACGTACACTGAATACCATAATCAGATGACAGATATATCAGTGGTTAATGCAGGAGTCGGAAGTTGGTTAAACATAGTAGAGACGAAAATATAAAGGTGGTAGCCACCTGTGAAACTTCACATCGGCAAAACTTGCAGAACTCGTAAAATAATCCCGTCATATCATACGTTGCATTCGTTATAAGCATAACTATAACTTTTACTACACCGAAATAAGGTGTCGCACTTTTAACATCACTTCTAAATGCAATGCGGATAGATTTATAATTTTTTCGTTATTTTAAATTATAAGTAATACATCCTTAATTATTTGTTTGTTGAGCCGAATGGCGCCTTACCTCCGGACAAATCCGACTGTATAAAGTTATCTAAGTCGATCGTTCGTATGAAAAATGCACAATGTCAACAGCGTAAGCTTCCAAAGACGATAGGAATTATTCTCGGTCGCGGATACCGGTTTTTCCACGCGGAATGCGGTCGTGATAACGTGACATAGAAGCGAGAATTGTCCGCAATGCGCAAGGACACCGTCGATTGCTTCACCGCGACGTGTTTATTCCCGGCGCATGGCGCGTCGAAACTCGCAGCCGCGGCATGCAAATCTCGTTGAGTTCGGTCTTAACACTCGGCTAACAGAGTAAGATACGCCACGGCGTCGACGGTGTTGCCGACATTATGAGAACAAACCCTCTCGTCGGCGAGCTATCATGGTGGTTAGCTAGATGGTCGGTGGCTGGTCGGTACACCCTTTCACATTTAGCCCCGGACTCGTTACGCAGCTCGAGGGCCGCGAGCATTGAGTTACAGTTAACTTTAAGTTACCCTGAAACTTCCCGTCTCGGAACTTCCGGAAAACCGCCAAACGGACGCCTGCTACACGTTCCTGGAGAGGTCCATTTCCTCTCCGTGAAAGGCCGGAGGCGGAAAGCCGGAGAACGAGGAAAAGCGAGCGAGTATTTATTCAATTCTTCCCGATTTTCTATTCTCCTACTTACTGCAATATCATTTTTAAGCCGGTATCTGTCTTTCCCGGATAAAACCAGGTCGTTATGAAACTGGAACGAAGCTTAATAAATATCTTATCGCAAAATTATCTTTTTATGCCATCAGGCAGAGATACGATTCTTGCTAATCGGATCAATTAAAATGCAAATAATTGATTTAATTAAAGTGAAGAGAGACGTGACAGATGAAGAATTTCAATATCGGCTACGATTTTATGCGTGTTAAATATATTATATATAATACAAAATCAAATTTGTGTGTGTATGTATGTATGCGCACGCGTGTGTATGTATGTGTGTGTGTGATTTATAGCGAAACACTTGCCAACGGACACGATACGGCGTCTGTTAAAAAAATACAATTTATGGCGCAATAACAATGTATAAAGTACGGGAACTTTTCGCCAATAATAAACAGCATCGCTTTATTAGCTCAATGTTTTCGCGCCGATGGCATTGTTGCGAAATGCGCGCGACAAAATTTCACATCGTTGTTTTTGAACGCTTTCTGTACGTGTTTACTGAAATCCGACGAAACAGGGCGTTTGATGCGTCGCCGTTTCAGTCAGCCGAGGATCCGCGTGCGAGCTGAAATTTTAACATCGGCGCCGAAATAAAAGGCACGCATGTTCGCGCGGGGATGCAAATTGAATAAGCCGGATGCGCGCGCTCACTTTCTTCGGGATGCTAAAGAAGCACTTTAATTTTCGCCTAATGTGTATCTCCGTCGCATAATAATTAATACTTCAATCGGCGCAAGGGATCTCCCTCTTAAAAAGTAATTTCGGCTCGCTCACCATGAAAATTATTATGCGAGGGGTCGCAGGATAGGAGGGATGAAACGCCTCGCCACCCCCGCGAGCGTCGTGGGAGCAGGCAGAAAGAGGGCCGGGCGAGGGTTGGCTTTAAAAAAAGGAACGAGTTTAGGATCCCGATGGAAGGAAGGACGGAGCACGGTGCAGATTCTAAAATACGAGAGCTATTAGCCGTAGTTTCCCATGAGCATTACCTTCCCTTATGTGTAAATGATGCAACTCCGCGCGGCGCTCCGGCCGACATGCGCGTTCAATCTGCACCAGGGATTGAGACCGTTAGGAAAATAACTGCATGGAAATTGGTTACGCAAGGGTCGCTTTTAGGCGAGTATAAAGAGGAGAAGTAACGATCCTTCGAGATCGGAATATCCCTCTAATACCTCTTTCAGGAAGAGGGATCAAGAGGGAATGCTTTATCACTCCCGTAAAAATAGATACGGATATAAATATCGCCTGTGCCGTTATTTTAACGCTGCGATAATATTTTGCGTGACGAGGGCGATATAAATGATAAGAATTGTCGCGACAAAATCGCCCGTCGGCCTTTATTTAGAGCGACGCGGGAAAAGGAATGCCGACGCGACGATTTTTCAGCAGCGCGCTGCGCCATTAAAATTTCAAAACTTCAGGGATTTTTAGTTGAAATCCCGGATCTATATCCATCGGCCGTGCAACACGCGCGTTCGCAAATGCACACACGTACGAGCGGCCTTTACGCGTATGTAAGTCATGGCGCTGCGGGTGAAAACGCAACAAGCGAGCGCGCGCCGGCCGGCAGTAAAGGGACAATGCGCGAGCAATATGTTCGCTGTTTAAAGGCACGATGCGTGCCTCGAAATTTATGCCTCACGGGAGACCCGCTAAATTTCGAAACTTTGAAAGTCCGGGCGAAAAGCATACATCAGCGATCTAACGAGTTTGAGTTTCAACGGACGCGCTATCGCTTCGTCGCCCCGCCCGGTGTCAGCCGCAAATGTTAGCTCCCCGGACAAATATTTTTCTCATACGCGCGGTTATCTTAATTAAACAAAAACTCACCGTCGCGTTTGGTCCGCAGCAGCGGTACATATTTGAAGCGCGAATAACGGGTGTCTACCTTAGGCGGCGTCATCGCTTTTCGTATAAAACGATCATCGCAGCGGCAACGAGCACACCAAGCGGCACGGATCGTAAATTACGGAGGAAGATTCGCCGAGCTGGCTTCTTTCGCTGCATTAGAAATACAGAGGAAGCTACTGTGTCGCGCGGCAAATTACGCTCGGTCGCAAAAAACGCTCGAACTCGCCGTTTCCGCATAAACAACATCCAGAGAATATTCAAAATCGATGAGTTCCGGGGGAAATGGAAAATTACCTTCTCGCCGAGCTGTTTCTGTCCTTTTTGCGATACTGCAATACGCGCGCCGTAACGAGATAACTAAAACAAAAGCTGGCTGGTGCCAGACGGAAGCGGACCTTCATTTTCCCCATCTCATATCAGCGCCACCGACGCGCAACCCTCTGCGCGCTATGCGCTCTTCATTTCGCCGAACCCACCCTCTTAGCACATTCTCCCCATTCTTTTTTTATTAATTTCTACACTCCTCTCCGCTCTGGGGAGAGAGAGAAAGAGAGAGAGAGAGAGAGAGAGCGCGTTATCGGTGGACGGCTGCCAAGAGGAGCTAAAATTCGACTTTGAATTCCCGGAGCGTTCATCGTTCTCCCGTTGTTTTTCTTTTTTTTTCTTCTTTCAGCGACCACGTATCCGCGCTACTTTCGCTTCTTTCATCCGTTATCTTCAGAAATAAAGTTGTACGCGTCATTACAGCGCTCGCCCGTTATCGCTGTGTTCAGGAGCACGTCGACAGGCGCGCACATTACATGCAAGTTGGGTAAAAAAAGGGAAAGAGAGAAAAAACAGGGCGCCCGACAAACGGTGAAATTGAATTACCGCGGATACCAGAGAACCAACGTGAACCGACCGCGGAAGTCCTCGACAATAAAACGGAATTTAGAGTCCGAACTATAGTTCTCTTCCTCTCGCCGCGCTGCAGCTCGATTTTATAGATCTCGGTGACGGAGAGCGATTTCGACGGGTCTCTTTTTAAATGCTGGCCGAAGATTTATATTTTTATACGTTTAATAATTTATAGATTTTTCTTATACCGCAATTCCTTTGAGCGGCAAAAATATCGTTGAAAAAACCACCCTTTTAAATTTTCTCTCAAAATGAAATTGAAAAAAATAGTGAAAAAATGGAAAAATCCGGTTTTCTTCCATTTTTCTCATTCATTCGCGGAAAGAAACCGAAAAAGCCGCAGAGGGATTAAATTAAAAAACCGGATTTCTCCGAGCCTTTACAAATATAAGCAGAAATTAGAAATTTAATAATATACTTCTTCTTTTTTCTCTTTCGATATTATTAAAACATTATGTATATAAGCGACATAATGAAATATCGAGGTAAGACATTGCGACGAGCTTTCAAGTAATAAGAAGTGTTATCAATAATTTTCCGACTGACATACTTCCGTTGATATCGTGGAAGTGGAGCACTCTCGAAAGCTTCTTACAATAAATGTCGATCACGTCGTAATCGAGACCACAAACATTGACAGCTCCGTTTTCGTTCAACGAATGTAAAATGACATATCGGCAGTTTCACACTTACAGAAGATCAGCAACAACGAGGGATATTCTTCGCTGCCATTACTCCTGCCACTGAGAAAGACGAACCACTGGCGAGGATCGACTCTGATCCCATATCTGCGATATAAAGTAAAAATAAATATTTTAATTTTATGAGGTAAATAATTGTGTAACGTGAGTATACCTTTCTATTAAATGATACAATTTGCATGATAATTGTGACTCTATTTGCAAATCGTAACGTTATTATTTATCTTAATAATTATAGAATAGTAACAATGATAATGCAACATGTTATATTAATTATAACAATACAGTACGTAAATAATATAGTAAGTAAATAAGTTCACAATAATAAAGGGGAACAATTTACATTACGACTCCAATTTCAAATGACTAGATACTAATATTTGATAATACATTTATTGACAAATTTGATGATGATATTGACTATGATGATAAAAATTGACTAATGATATTCAACAAGATTATTCGACTATGACTCGTTAGAATAAAAAACAAAACAATATTAAGAAGAGAAAAAGGTATAAAAATAAGCATTAAAATTCTATATTGTAATAAAAAATAAGCAAAATAACCGTCAAGATTCTGCTTTATAATCTCTCTAGTCTTGCAATATTAACCGAGATGCGAATGCTTCATTATTATAATGGATCTATTTGCGATATGATCTTTTCTACCGAGGTCGATTTAGAAAGACACAAGAAACGAAAGAGCAGATCGCTCGTTTCTTCCTTCTTAGGATAAATAACTATCGCGCCGCAATCACGCAAAAGGGGAAAGTCGTACTGAGAAATAAAACGATTTTCCCAGAAGGTCGACTCAGTGAAAATGTAGGAAACGTCTGTCTCGTGATTGACTGTGATCTTGATTCGAATCAGTGATTTATTTAGATGGCACGCGTCGGAAAATATTATAAACGGTGCCCGCCGGTTGAATAGCGTCGGATTATTTATTGGCAATTTCGTGAAATGACACTTTCTGTGCGCACATACGAATCATACATTAATTTCTGCGCGTAAATCAAACTGCGATGCGGGAACAGACCGCGTCTGATAACAGCAATAAACAAATGAAACAGAATAATGTTGAATTGCGATGTCCGATTAAGTCGTGTGTATGTCTAACCGTAACAAAGGAAAGAATTTATTGGTCACGCGAAAACGGAACATACAAGGAAGGTTTATACGGATGTAATATTGCAGGCAACAAACGGTTCGGACAACAAGCGCGATCAATCCTTCGGATTGAAATGAACGAAATTTATTTGGCAACTTGCCGGGCATAGAATTGCACAATCGTTCTTAAAGCGACCAATCGTTTCGCAATAACAACAGTGACTACCGCGCCGATGAAACCCATCCCGACCTTCTCCCTTGTTCGATTTGAATCTGACCGTTGTCCATAATAACAATCGATATAAACAAAACTGTCCCGCTCGGTCGAGAAACTATCGCCGTTTAATCCAAGAACGGCGCGATAAAACAGAACCCCTGCAATACGTATTGGGCATAACATAATGGTACGATAATAATGCGAAATAATACAGCGAATGGCGATAATCTGTAAATAAAACGCGTAAAGGAAAATTATTTTTTCCGTTTATATCTCGAAATGTGTATCAATTTATTCGTACACTTGTGTCATTATCGTGCCCGTGGAAATAAATTTTACATATCTTATCGCTACATATTGACCTGGAAACGCAATTTGCGTTCCGATGGTATCGATCTAAACCATCGAGAACATTATTTTCTCGCGGGACACACGAGGTAGAGGTGTATCAGCCGAAAAAAGGTAGCGGTATACACTAATGGCTGCGGGTCGTACGTGCCCGCTAACGATGATAAACGAGGCTTATGGGTCGAGTAATTAAAGTATTCGAAGTGGGTGCGGTTGTTACAGAGAGACAATATTTATTGGGACGCGATCACTGACCTGGTTTCCTGCGAAAATGCGATCAGTCACGTTGACGCGGTTTACGGTAATTGGACGGTAGCGTGGAAAAAATACGACTTCCGCTTATAATTAATCGCTACATTCCGTGTGACAGCTGATCGGCGATAATTTACGAAAACGACGCAACCTCGAATGACAGGTACGCGCGTCAATATCACGTGAATGTCGGAACCCCGATATCGCGACATTTCGGCCAATCAGAATCCAAAGAGTTAACCTGTATGCGCTTTCAAGAATCAAGAGGAGAAAATAATTGAATTCTAAGCTTAAAAATGTGCGCACTGTGTGCAACTGATAGAAATTAAGAACGAGAAGTAAGTATTAGGCCTTTTGTTACTTTTCATTAAAATAATTGTATCGCAGAATGCCGGATCTTCAGTGACAATATTAAGGAGCTCTACATTTAATATTTACTGTAAAAAATACTCCTGTAACTTTATTCAACTATCTAAATAATAAATGTTAATTTTAAGCAAAATTAAGAGAAATATACACACAGTATTACGAACACGAAGATATTATTCATTTTTTATTTTTCTTAACACGTTGAGTGCGCCAACTTTACGTGATTTTCTATTCACGCCACTTGGGCCACCGATGGCCCACATTATAACGTGGTCTGTATATTGCACGTGCTATTATAAGATATATCTTATAATATTTATAAGACTACAAAAATTATTTTTATATGAAGAGAAAGAGGTAACGTAAAATGTATGCGTTATGCGGCTTGAACGGAAAATCCAATGTGGGTCGCCGATGGCCTACACGGCACTATACGTATTAATGTTTTATTTATGCGTCAGTTGAGGTACACATATAATGGAAAGTGATATGTAAATATTTAAATATGCGTATCAATGAACGTGTTCAAATTTCAACGAATTCTTAAAATACTCGTTTTACGCTACAACTACCTTAACTCGACCAACATTAAAATTGCCAGATACGTCGAAGAAAAGAATATCATTCGCTGACCCATATTAAAAAAAAATCGGCATTTACTCGAATATTCATTTCGAGCAAATGGAAACAGTCCGGTAAGAAAACAATCGTTCAAGGCTGTCGATGATTAAATCGATCAGACTTCGATACGCGTGTACACATGGCAGACGAGTCTCATAAAACATTCTTCGAGTACTTGAAAGTTAGGGGATATCGCACTTATCGAAACTCATCGCTCCGAGGCGTGAGCAGAAACGATATTAAATTTCTTTCCCGGCGGGAATAGCCGTCTTGATCCGAGAGCGCCCGTTAAATCCACGCTCGTTCTTCGCTCGCCGGAGTTCGTTAATACAGCGTCACGATAAAATCCCCAATTTCACGTCGAACGTGGTGAGGAGGGTCGTCGGGGGTGACTCCAGGTGGAAGGGAGAGAGAGGGAGCGCGCGTGGAAATCCAGATTGGAAGAGTTATGGCGCCAATATGGGACGAGCTCGGATGAAAATGTGGGCGCGAACTGTTCACATTAAATATTAATAAAACGCGCGCGGAGCGAGACGCTCGCTCTTCCCCGCTTCTACGATTGTAAGAACGTAGGAGATGATTCTTCTTCTCGGAAATTAATGGCGAGGCCTGAAGGCTCGTTTCAAATGTCGGATTGGCCCGGCGAGATGAGATGGATTGTTCTCGCGGAGATTCGGAGGGGCTGCGTGTGAACGGAGGAGGACGCGTAACTTGCTTAATTTATTTTGATATTTATCTGGATAAAATCGGAGTGCGGCGCGCGGCTCATTAACGGCCCCTATTTGAAGCTCATTGATACACAGCACCTATTTATTTGCCTCGGACAATTTTCGGGGAACTTGATGAACGTGAACGTGTAATCTTCTCACAGAAAAAAAGCGAACACGCGTGAACCCGAGGACTCTGATACTTCTCGGGAATACACGTGTATCGAAAATCTGCAGATGAAAACGTACAAATTGACCTACATTTTCTAATTATAGATTTTTCACCTTATTACAGATTTTTATTTATAAGCGCGACGGAAACGAAGTTTTAGCGAAACGAGGTTTTACTTTTTCCGCAATATCGACGAAAGCTGCTCTTAAACAGGAAGTCGCGCATCAGTTGTGCTAGTTGGTAGAAGTTAATTCAGAACAGTAGACGAGACAGTGTTGTGAAATAACGCGCGTCCGAGTCCAAGCGAATCTGAATGCACGAATTATGACTGCATGGCGGATCAGTGAAAAAGTTTCACGCGAGCCATCTGCATAGATACGAGGAAACAAAAGAGCACAGGAACTTCAGCATCCCCTCTTCGCGTCCTCACCCTCGCGAGCTTTTATCGATAGTGGTGGAGCCTTTCGTCGGGAGTTCGATTAATTGAGCTCTCTCGCTACCTTTCTTTCACTTCGCACAGAAGCGCTTCGCTTTCTTACCAACATGTTTTTTTCAGTCGCCAATCCACCCTCTCCCTCGTCCCCCCTCCCCCCTCTTTCCCGCTTCGGCACTGTCGATTAATCTCGATCGTAGTGGAGTCGTGTCGACAGTCTCATCCTCACGACGCGGCCGCTTGGTCTTATTTCTCGCGCGCGTCGAGTCTGGAAAAAGCTTTTTGCCGGCTGGAACGAATCATTCGGGAGCGCAAAGAATGCAACGGCTTTAAATGGTTACGATTCTGCCGAAGTGCTCGATCGAGTGCGCTGTGAATTGACAAAGCGATGATCGTGCGTGTAATTTTTCAGCCGATTGAACATCGTGCCGTGCGAGGACGCGATAAAGAGCTTCAGCAGTGTCTACATTAATCGCGGACGTCCCTGTCAATCCGTCGGATCCTGAAGAAATGCGTTTCAAGCACTCGATGGAATCCCTTTGCTACACCACACGGATATAAAAATCGATATCGGCGATGAAAAAAACTCACGATCGGATATAAATATATTTCACTCAATTATTAGTTTCACAGATGACTATAACTTTTTTATTCGGTTTATATCCAGTTTTCAGCCTTTTTTTTCTTTTTAGTATCCATCCGGCTCGTAAGCTTTAATAGGTATATGGATAAAATATCGCGAGAAGCGAAGATATCGATCGAAATGTCGAAATGCATTTGGACTTCGGTATCTCGCGGAAGGATTACCGGGGCGATCTCGGGCAGAATCGTTTACGATATCTTCGGCCGCCCGCAGCTGCTCCTGTTTCGAGCTCGTACGAAGCGTGTCGGGGCTACCTCGAGCAATTACGTCGCGAAGTTCCCTCGAAAGTTTTTCCACGCTTAACGAGCGTGATAAATTTCTGTTACGCGCCCCTGGGAGCGGCCGGACGCGAGGCCGAGAGTTTACAACGGCGATAAAAATCTCGTTGAAATTATTCATGGGCAACGCTTACGCTCCTCTCGCACCCTCAGAAGAAGAAGGCACCTAACTTACTCCTGTGAGGACGATCTCTCTCAAGGAAGAGACGTCGCGCGACTAGCAATGGCCGTAACCAATATGCGTGAACGCTTAACTTTAATGACAGCACTTCGGCCCCGAACTAATTATCATCGCGCCCACGCGTTAATTATCGTTATTATTCAGGCCGAATTGGTGTGGATTAATTTGTGGAATTTAAAAGATAGGCCGATAGTTCACAAGTAACCGCTCTGATTGAATACTTTGAAAATGGAAATCGCGAAATGTGTTCCCTCGTAATTTTCCACAATCTCGTTAAGGCTGGTAAACAAGAGGGATCTGCAAGCTGAAATTGTTTGAGTAGTAGAATTGCGTACTGGTTCGTGGCCATCGCTGTAGACGGCTAATTCTATTCGGGAAGGCGAGAAACGGTCAGTTCTGCTCCGTCCATAAATTAATTTGCTCTTACTCGCACCCTTCCCCCCTCCCCTCTCTTCCTTTCATCGGCAGCGTATCGCGAGAGTAACGATCGGCACTTCGAGAAGTCAATCGAATAAATCGTACCAGAAGGTATATTTCCAGCACTGAGATAAATTAAGTTATCGCAACGATAGAGGCATGGATTACCCCGTCCCGATACTGACACGTGTAATGGTGTGTATCTAATTCGAACACGTTCGATCGCGGTTTCTCTTCGTTATTTTCCAAATGAAGCAATGACGCGGTCCACGTTCGTTTTAATAAGAATACATCATTTCGGACAAGGCACGTCTCGCACAAATTTGACAATTTTACATGTACATAATTCAATTCTCCGTTGCAATTTCCTCCCGCCGATTACCTTTCCCATCATTATCCATCTTATCGATTCCAATATTGCGTGTCATGCCTGCGCAGTATCGCAACAATGGCAATGCCTAGTTCCCGAAGATATCAAATTTGTTTTCACCTGCAGCGCGCTCCCGATGAAATACGAGCGCATCAAAACAGATCATGCAACCTTACCGGTTGACAAGCTGTCACGCTGTCCCAACAACGCCTGCCGACAGGCTGCGAATAACATCCACTTACACGATCGATCTGTAACCACCCCGAGAAGAATGACGAATAATCACGTTGTAGCAGTTACAGCTACAAACTCAATTTTGTCAGTTGGCCGACAATCGATTCTTTTTGTCGTATGCCGTCAGTCGTTACAGCAGCGCATCCATCAAACCGATGGAGGCGCTTCTGATCGCCTTTTGTTCCCCTATCGGATTCCCATTGGACGCCTCCCCATGCAGGGACATCCTCTTCCAGCTCCGCCGGGCCAGTAACAACTTCTTGATGGAGCTATTGCTTGTCAGAGCTACCACTTTTTTTTTTTTACGGTGTTATTAGGAGCCGGCGCGATCGCCTAGCGTTTAGTTCCCCTTTCATGCCTTTTTCCTCGAAATCCACTCATCTTGATACGAATGATCGAAAGCTTCCCGCCGAAGTGTCTTTCGCGAGGATTGGACACGAATCCCATGAGACACCTCGAAACAGTTTCGTGAGCGATTAAAGGCCCGATGTCAACGTGATGAGACAATCTTTGAGCTTTCACGTCTGACCTGTAATTCGTTGGGCAACTTGTTTCCGACGTGAAACGTCCGATTAATCGGCCATTCGAGTTATTATATAATTTGTTCGTGACGATGAGGAAAAGCGTTTCGTTAGACACAATCTCCACTGGTTTAGCAATCTTATCGTTAACGCTAGGCAAACATTTTGTGCAACGATCAGCATTTATTAGTGACAAATCTATCGTGGACTACGACTCGATAGTAAAAATACACCACGTTAGATAAAAGCGGAGCATTATCGGCAATTCGAGATACTCACTTTATGAAATTTTCCAGCAGTAACCGGATACCGCCGATGCTCAACAGTAGGAAGCCCCAGTTGACGAGTCCCGTGAAGTTATCAAAGCCGGAGCTCCACGAAAAGAGGCTATCTCTTGGACGATGGCATCTGCAAAAGGAAATAAAAGAGAATTTGAAGAACCTCTTTTTTACTCCGCGCGTCCCATTATGACCGTAGCTCGCCGATAATTTTTCATCTAAATTACACGGAGTGCGTTGCGTAATAACTATTACTTAGCTCTCGAAAGGCGGGGAGACGAGTTGTAGGTAATAATATCTTCGTATTTAAATACATTTTGTATTCCCGCCCCTTTCTGATCTCCTTATGAATAGAACGCGCGAGCTCGTTATTATACCTTCGGATATTCGATAATAGACCGCCTCGAGTCGCTGAAGGAGAAGAAGGTATTAAGGAGAATATTCTCATTCTGGCGCCATACTAGCAAAATGCTCCTTGTGCGCGGGCCATATGAAGAAAGACGTAGGAACGACGTAGGGATGAGAATGGGGCAATAAAGGGGCTTTCATATCGCACGGTTATACATGTCCTTATATCAATTTACGGACTGACGTACGGTTCACACGTGACGACGGGGTAAATGATATGAGTCGTTTTTATCGCAGTAAAAGATGCTCGTTATGTGACGGACATTCGTGCAAGCAGATTTGTCTCGGAAACACTCGCGGAATCTACGATCCCGCCGTGCCCCTGTCCCACGTGGGAGTTTAGTAACGAAACGTAGTTTATGACGGACGATCGTAGCAAGATTACCACTGTCTCCGCATGACCCTTTCACTTTGTGCCTTTATGCGCGGGAACGTCGCTTTGCATCCAACCGGTATTCAGAACGTTCCGTCCATTTGCTCCTCGCTCCGTTGCTCGCATCAAGGGGTGGACAGTAATAACAATTCATCCCGGAGCCACGAAAATACACACAGGATACGTGTTTCACTTTCGCGGTACTCGTCTGAAAAATCCCGGCGAAATTACCGGCACGTTTCGGAGAAACTTTGACGCGCCGGTATTAAAAAGAAGAAATAATTGCGCATGCTTGCGTGTTGAAGGTGGAAGCGTCGCGCCGATGAGCGACAAACTGAACGGGAGGGAAGCTCGAGGGAACTTACGTTCGAAAAATTAATTAAACGCTCGAAGTTTTCCGTAAATAAACAACAGTCTTCTCGTGCAATGTTTCTTTTCTTTCTTTTTTTTGTTTTCGTCGAGTGCCTGATAACTTCGATAAGTGTCCCTTTTTGTGTTCGCTAACTAATTTGTTTATGTTTTTTTATTCATTCAGTTCGACGAATATGACGCGTAGAATGCGAGAATCTGGCCGACACGGGCGACCGTTATCATGAATCGCGCGAGAACGCTCTTTATCGATCGGAGATACGAGAGGCACTCGAATGTTTTGTGCCGCAAGACAAAGTCCTATCGAAAAGTTTATACGATGGTCCTCATCGGTACTCGTCGCGAGCACAACCAGCGGCGGATGATAGGCACGCACCGTGGAAGCCGATTACGGGGACGCATCCGGTGTATAATCCACCCTGGAGACACCAAGACAAGAGGGTTTTGTGTTACGGCTCTCCAATCTGCGCTATAGACACCATTCGGATTTCATGCACGGAATATTCTTGGCGCTGCGCACTTGTCAGTCACGCGAGAGCGGCGCACCATATGGAATTTCCGATATCTAAAGTGCTTATTGCATGCACACGACGGCGCGAAAGGAGCGTACTAAAAGGATCTCGAACGGCGCCACTCGCGATGAATCGATCGCGCAGCGAGGAAGAAAGAAATAATGATCGTAGAGCGAGACTCGTGCTAGCCACTTGGATTAGCGCAGTCACGCTTAATATCTCGGCTAATATTCTTATCTCATCGATAAATGTAGCGCCATACATTCTTGCAGGGTTATTTATGAAACTGTCGGTCTACTTTTATATTAATCATACGACGTCTATTTTATCTGTGACATTTAAAAAGTCTGCAGCCTGTAAACTCTCCATTATCGCAAAATATATCTTCAATATGGTTTCTCAGCCAATCAGGTGGTTTCCGAGCCACTTTTAGAAGCGCTTTTAAAAATAAAAATAAACTCAAAATATACGAACCTGTGTGTAAAAATCGTATTATTCTCTTTCTCAGTATCTATCATAGGATCTTAATATAATTTCCTTCTAAGTAAACGTTTAAGAAATTCATACCTCGATATTGGCGCCAAGAAAAGATGTCTTTTTTAATCGAGAATGAAAATAAAATTTTTACGGTACTGTTGATGGAATGTATTACCGTACCATCGAGGGTGAGCTTTTGAAGGACTTCTAAGTAAGTGTTTAGGGGAAGCCACCGTCTTAAGCAACCACTCTGACATGACGCACGTTCATAAATAAACCGTTGTATCGATTCCCAGAGTCGGGCGAAAACCTTCTCAAGTATTTTGCAAGTTTCTTTTGCGTAAGAGATAAAGCTGCGATATATCGACGATTGATACGCAAGAAAAGTAAATCTCACGTCAACCTTGGATTGTGCCGACTTCTCGATTGCCTCTTATTTCATGACCTCTCGTATTATGTCGTCATCGAGGTAGGTCTCGAGAAGCTTCTGTGCCATTTTCATGAAAGAACCTCTCGTCTTAAGTATTTACATGAAAGATTCCAGTATTCCCCTTCCCCTGCGAGCGTGAGTGAGACGTATCCTTGAGACGGTGTCTTCTTGGAAGTTCGAAAGACCGAAGGTTCGTGGCCATAAAATTGCATCTACATCCTTTGAAACATCTGTGATTGAACTGGCAAACCGTACAAATGCCCCGAAAAAAAGGAAGAAAAGAGAAACATATAAAAACACAAATCTCCATTTAAAATCCCGATTTTACGAGAATTACCATTTTAATCGGAAATATAAGTCTTCCCGGGGAAATCAGAGACGCGATACGCCACGTTTCCTATTTCAACTCGTGACTGTACAAAATCTAGCACACCGTAAAGTCTCAGCCGTGCTAATATTATAAATTTCCGCAACGACATCCGTAACGATGACGATGCAATTTGTCCGGCGAAGAATTCCGTCGGTTTTGCGCGCGAAATGTAACAGGCGAACGTTATATATAGCCCCGTCGTAATTACCCGCAGCCACCCCCAGCAGCGCGGTTTCTGCGTGTATTCAGCATCGTCGTGCGTCTCCCCGCCCTCGCGCAACGGCTCCCCTAATAAACCCTCTCGACCTGTGCGCCGTAACTATTACTCAGAATTTATGGCAGATCGCGATAATTAATAGAGCCGCGATAGAAACGGCGGTTTGCGCACGAAGAGCTATCTCGCGCTTCTGGTATTGGAGCGGCATGGCGGACAGAACGCAGACGTGTCGCTTGGAAATTCCATATGCATGAGAATGACGATACGCTGGATATGTCCGAGTGTCGTGTCCGGCGTCTTCGAGAACGTGAGCTACGGCCGTAGACGCGTCCTTTCGACTTTTGTCATCCGATTTGAGATGGACAATGAGTGAATCGTGCGATACGACGCGGACATTACATGACTAATGCGATAGCGAACATCCCCGAAGTAACGTTGCATCACACTTCAATCCTATCACGATAATAGCACAATCGTCGGTTCTCTCGGTTGCAAATGTATTTATCGGCATTGCTTGAGACGCCTATCGTTACTTTTAACGTCTCGCATAGAAATTTCTTATGATTTCCTTTTTCCTCTGTGTGTGTGTATGTATATTTGTAAAGTAAAAATATTTAAAATGTTTCGTATATTTTGTTTATTCGTAGTGTCAAGTGGAAATCAGAAAAAAAAAATGTTTACGAAAACATTGGAATAAAGCAGCATCCGTTTAGATTTATTTTCTATTCCTGAACTGCGCTAGTTCAAGAAAGCTGCACTCCGATATTCACTGCCAGTATTAAAAATCGATAGCATACGTAACGTGAACTATATTTTCAGTATCGGCAGTGAATATCGAAACACGGCCTTCTTGAACTGGTGCAACCAGTTCAGGAATAAGAAACAAATCTAAATAGATGCTATCTCGTCATCTCCGATGTTTTCCCAAAGATTTTTCTGGTTTCCACGTCACACTACGAATAAACCAAAGTGCTTTCCACCTAGGATCTCGTTTGAAATATTACACTTCTAACTAAAAGCTGCGTGAATTTCTCAAGTAAAATCCATCATTATTCGAGGAAATCGGACGGGACCCCAATTAAATCCCAAGAAATTTTCTACGTTGGATTATTATCTTGATTATGTGTCCGGGTTGATTAATTAGGGTCAGCGGTGTCGTTAAGGTCGGGCCGAGAATTCCGAAGCTCGAAGCCGGACGTTCGCTGCGAGAGAACGTTCTAGAATGATTTATCGCGACGATTAGCGGTGCTTTTTAAACGAAGCTCAAGCGACATCCGCGGGATAAGTTGCAATATCATACTTCGGTCCACTTTCCGAACAAACCGCGGCCGTAAGAGGGGGCAAAAAGACCAACTAAGTTGTCGTTGTTCTTCCAGGCCCCGGAACTGAGAGACGCGTATCCCGAGCGTGCGCCACGTTCTTGTCGCTCCGAGGCAAATCGCTTCCGCTTTCTTGCGGCGGACATATTACAGGTTGCGGAAAAAGTTCCTCTTAAGCGAAACTTCCGCCGACGCGACGAGTTTTCGGCACGTAGTCGCCGCGCCGCGGCGTCCCTTGATCATCGACGTCGCGCGTGCAACTTCGGCGTCGTGTTTTTGCTCGTAACGTCCAATGGAGAGGCCAGTTTTTCGTCGGCGATATGGCGGCAAACGTGACTTTCGGGCCGATCCGTGGATTTAATTGAAACTGAGTTATGATGGCGCGATCAATGACCACGTTATTTGCGCGTCTCTTACACGACCCCTATTTTTAATCCTCGTTCATACGATCGAGTATATTCCTCTTTGGGTCGAATGTTCATTTCAATAAACAGCTTTTTTTTATATGGGATTATTTTTGCGCGAACGCTGCTCGGTGAACAATCGAAATTTCATCGGAAAAAAATATTCAGTCCGGTTGTCCAGAAAATTTACAGAGCGCTCCGATATCTGCATTATTCTCACATGAAAAATGGGCAATTGCGACATTTTCCCG